AATTCACATTTGCACCCGGTCCTATTTGTTTCAAAATCATGCAAGAACTGATGACTATGCGCAATTACTTCGATTTTCTTATCAAAATTGCGTAGGTAGTTAGATCGAATATGAATAATTTTAGTTTTACTAGCATTCAGTACTAAACCAACATCATGAGACCATTTACATAAGTCGATTTGTAAAAGGTGTTCGGCCTTATCTAGATCTTTATCGACTGCTATAAGACATGTATCGTCCGCGTATTGATAAATGGAACAATGTTTTATTACATTTTCCATATCATTCACGTATGCTAGATAATGCAAGGGTCCGAGCACGGAGCCTTGTGCTGTTCCAGTAGTTACAAATATTTCGTCACTGAAATCATTGCCGATCTTAACCCGGTATTTTCTATCGTTGAGATAATCTTGGCACCATTGTAATAATGGCCCGCGGATACCTGTATTGTCAAGTTTTTTTATAAGAATATCGTGCCTAAGAGTATCAAATGCCTTACTAAAGTCAATGAATAATAATATGACATGTTTTTTATCATTCAGGTGTTGGTTTATTTCGTCCGTGAATTTAGACAGCAATATAGTAGTTGATTTCTTAGATTGAAAGCCGTATTGAGCATTTGATAATATATCGTTTCTAGAATAAAAATTGTGAATTTGCTGGGCCACATATTTTTCAGACAGTATTGTTATAGGCCTATAGCTATCATACTCACTATGTGATCCCTTTTTATAAATTGGTCTTACGGTGCCAGTTTTCAATTCTTGTGGATATTTTCCTACTGCTATGCTAGTGTTTATCAGCTTAACACTATAATATAATTAAGTTAATAGGACAAAGACAGCAAGAATGCTTTTGAAATTTAAAATAAAAAATAATTCTCTTTATTTGATACTTACACTTATCGAAAGGGGAAATTTTATTTCAAAAGAATTAAGATTTATACGCATGACGTAGTAAACTGCTAAATGGGAGCATTTATCTAAATCAATAAAGCTCCCACATCTATCTAAATCAATTATCTCATAGATAATTGATTTAGATAGATGTGGGAGAAAATGAACTACTGGATTATGCATAAGTAAGCTGACATATACCTAAGTATAACCTGATAAAATACCTAAAATTAGGAGTAAAGCACGAATTTTAACCAACGTGTATTAGGTTGTCTTTGACTTTGTGCAAATAAGTCTTTACATATTAATAATTAATGTTCAATAAATATTTGTCTTTAACAACTTTGTTTTGATTTTATTTTCAAAACATTTTTAATTACCCTAAGAGAGCAAAGATACTTCAGATATGGCTGACTAACGGAAGTTAGTCAGTTTTGTTTGATTTTGTTTAACTCCTTTAATCAAAGATTTTATAAAAAGTGTCTAAAACTTAACTCGGAACGTATATGCTATGAAACAAAGTTTTACCTATTACAATGAGATTTCAGGAAGTTAAAAAAGAGATGGAAGTGCATGTAGTCATTTTAAACAGTTTCCATCAGTAAAAATTGGACAATATCTTATGTTAATACGAAAAAAGTTTTGTGTTAATATCTATATGATAACAACATATTATGTTAGTTAATGCGTTAATTTAACTAAGACACTGCTGAATACCTTCTCCTTAGTGAAAAACCACGGAGCAGAAAACATGAATCCTACTTGCCAACAATTCAAATAGTATTCAATACACTCTTGTTCAACAATTTAAATTTAAATTATTCCTTGGTGGCAAATTGTTAGCAAGATGCTAACAGTATATTGTAAAATCTGGATATTTACTGGTAAAAATGACCTCCACTCCAAACGAAGAGGTAGTAAATAGAAGGTATTTTACCGCTCACATTTTGGCAGTTAGCAAATTCGCAGAGATTGAAAACTAAAATATTTTTATTTAACAATTTATAAAAATAATGAAAATTAATGCAGGTATGTAAATAATGTAATAATTGTAATAATGACATTTGTAAGACATCCCCACACCAAGCAAATACATCAAATTTGTAATGTTTCAAGAAAAACACTTTTGCGACTTTCAGAAAACTTTTCATGTGTTGGAGATTATAACAAAAATAATTAAAAACATTTGACCAATGATTTCCCAGAAATGGGATATTTGAAATCATTAAATTGTTAATAAATAGCAAATTTCAATTTTTAACATGACATAAACATAAAAAACTAAGGACCTTTATCACTAATTTGTTGATCAAAATAATTGTAAATAGTTCAGATCCTCAAAGATGGACTAAGAGCTGATGCAATAATTATAAGTAAAATATTAAAAAGCAGACATTAAAATCAATAATGATAAAATAAAACTTCGGACATTAAAATATTTTGAAACTTATAGAAAAGCTAAATAATGTTGCATGGAATGATTTAAAAATATGTACCAATTTTTAAGTCATATCCTCGAGACAATTTATGTACCTTGATTAATTATTAGAAGGTATTCTAACGATTTGTACTTATGAAAGAAAATATTTTGTAAAATTGTGTTGTATATTCTGTAGTACGAGGGTGCGTTATGGGGAATTACATGAAAATTAAGCAACTCATTATTAGTATCAAAACCGGGTTTTATTGTAATTAGATCATTAAACTTTAAGTTATCGTCAACCAAACAAGTCAATCGGGAAGAAATTGTGAAATATGGAGAAAATCGAGTTCCGTGCCGTTATAAAGTTTCTTACCAAGCGCGGAAAATCAGTTCAGACTATACTGGAAGAGATGTCATCCGTTTACGGAGACTCTTGTCCAAGTAAAACTATGGTTTACAAGTGACATACAATTTTTAAACAAGGCAGAAAGTCACTTGAAGACGACAGGAAGGCCGATGGAGGTGACCCATTCGGAAATTATTCAAAAAGTCGAAAAATTAATATTAGAAGATGCCCACCTAAAAAAAAAACAGCTCGCAGAAATGGTTGGAGTATCAGATACATATACATATTTGGACCTTTGTATGGAAGACAAAGATGGATTGTTGGCTCAAATTGTTACTGGTGACGAAACTTAGGTTCACCATTATGAACCTGAGACCAAACAAGACTCCATGGCATTATCACAAAAAAGACACACCACCACCCAAGAAATTTAAGGTGGCACAATTGACTTGCAAAATCGTGGCGACAGTCTTTTGGAACTCAGAAGGAAACCTATTGATTAATTATGAAGATAAAGGTGTATCCATACCCGGATATTACTACACTTCAATCCTAGAACAATTAAAGGAAGCCATAATAGAGAAAAGAAGGGGAACATTGACCAAAGGAATCCTTCTGGCTGTTCACAAGTGCCATGTTGCGATGGCTGCCCTGCAGAAGATGGGCTTCGAAATTTTGCCACACCCACCTTATAATCATGGTTTTAACCCATTTTTATCTACAAATTATGATAAGAGGCTCTCGCCCTCTCGCTCTAGCAATGGTTATCCTTGTTTTTCCTTGTTTTTCTGATTACTACTCTAACATTGTATTATCTCTTTCTTTATTTGAAAACAGTGGAGTACTCTTATTAGTTTGTGAACAGTGGAAGTTTGTTAGAACTTATAATAGTAAACAATATTTCGAATTATTTTAATAAAATTTTCTTTAATCATTTAATATTTCGGTTCGTGTTGCACAACCGATTGTTACGTAACACATGACTTTAAGTTAAAATAAAATGTTCTTGCATCCATCGCTACATTCACATGACATTCATACATTCATACACTGTCTTAAGGTTCAGAGATTAGCCTTTCTATATTATCTATCTATCTTTCTATATAAGCATCTATATAAGCAGCGACGCTAACAGTATATTTACTTCACTTTTCCTAACTTTTAGGGTCAACACTGGGTGTGAAACAGCGATTTTCTTGAAATTCTTGAGAAATGTGATAATCGGGGATGTTTTTGAATCTTGCTGCAAAAATATCGAACTTTACTGTCGGAGATGTCTGTCGACCTTAACTGTAATGGAGATTTCGAACTTAACTGTAGTGGAGATTTTGAACAAATTGTGAGGTAGTGTTTCATCTCTAATCTCCACGTGTAAGTGAAATTAAACTGTTTCAAACAACCAGTGAATATATAAATTGTTAATAAACATACCGAGTATACACAACAGTCATTAATAATGGCTAAAATACCATAGTTCTTAATAATAAAATAAGTTTATCGTGATATATGAGCAAAAATCAAGCACCTTCAACCGAAACTTCGTAAGTTTACTTAAAAAAACACTAAACAAATTGTGTACTAATATTAAAGAAAGACTTTGATTTTTAATACTGACGGTGAATCGAAAGAGTATCCGACGACAAAATTACCGGTCTAATTACAAACAGTGAGAGCTTGACAATATACATAGCATATTACTCAAATTCGCCAATATAACTTGATGTAGTGATGGCGTAGTGGTTTCGCCGTTCGGTATCTCACTCGGTTCCTGAAGTGTAGACGGTTCAAATCAAGTCGGATAAACAAAGCGTATCTTTTTCTACATTTTCAACAAACATTAAGACAGATTTAGTTGTAAGCCAGATTCAGTTCTAAAGGAGACAGATTATAAACGACACAAGATTGAAAACGAATATATAGAAGCAGTAAAGAACTGCGACATCTATCGTAAGAAAAATCTTAAAATATTTTATAAATTATATATAATATCAACGTTAAATTTCTATGATGCCTAACCAAAGTCTTTCATAAAATAGCAGCCGTAAGATGTCATCACTTGTAAGTTGTAATAAATGTAAAAAAACTATTGAAGCTAAAAATTCACTGCTATGTTTAATATGTAAAAAATATTATGAATTTGACTGTTTTGGCTATTCTGAAAAACTTTATCGCTTACAGGATATAGAAAGCAGAAAAAATTGGAGATGTAAAGCATGTAAGCAAATGTCTACTGGGCAATCTACACCTACTGGTGATCCATCCTACGTTACATTTAGAAAAAAAATACTCACATAGTTCGAGTGGAAATATGACACCTACAACAGTGGTAGCAAAAATGAGTGAATCGCCGATAAATGACTACCACATATTAACCACTCTTCACTCATATGACGATTCCCAGGCTACACCTAGTCAAATATTATCACGGAGCTTTGACTTCACAATTACTGATTCTATTACGGTGCAGGAAATGAAGGACACTATAAATAATTTACGGTCAGAGATCGCAAGTACGCAAAATGAGCTGGATAATACTATAATTGAGAACAACGACCTTCGGAGACAAATCACAAAATTAACACAAGAAAATAACCTACTAAAAACTCTATGTCAATCACCAATAAAGGATATCCAAATGAAACACCAAAACATAATAAAAGAGAAAAATATTCATTCTGCTCACTTCAAAGTTTTATATTCGCCCTTCGAGGGCTTCTACGCCCTTAAAATTATCTGAAAGGAAAAAAATAGAAAAGGTATTTGATGCGGAGATAGCTATTATCTTAAAACATAGGATTTCGGAATTAGAAAACCAACTAAAGAGCGCTGAAAACGAAATTAAAATTCTTAATGAAAAAATTCAAATGTTGCAACATAAAATATCATCAAAAATGTAGGGTCTTCAATAAAACTTACACAAGACTCTAATACCATAATTTCAGACATCAGAAAACAATATGTTAACTGCGATAAAATATTTATCTTTGGCACACAACAATGCATTGGCCTAGCCTCTGCTTTAATACGCTCAAGAGCAAATACGGCTTATGAAAAATATAGCATTTACTCGGAAATAAAACCGTATGCACTTACATACGCCTGATGTGCTAAAAATATCCATAATACACAAGTAGCCTCGAACGATAAAATCATAGTGTGTGTGGGAGAAAATGATTACGACCTGAAAATACTATCTTCACAAATATGCACATTAATTAACTGGTACAAGTTAAATAGTATACTAGTCTTAAGTTTGTTTAAAAATAAGTACATATGTGTGAACGATTTAAATAATACTTTAGAAAATATTTGTAATAAATTTGAAAACTGTCATTACGTGAATTGTATGTCCAATAATTTATATTCTATGTGTAAATCAATAAATTCCGTAATTGACTATATTGATTATAAGAACAAATTTCTAAGTGCCAAGCAATTAAAAAAGTTTATATTACGCTGTAATAATAAATCGATATTATTATCTGATAAATCCAGCAGCTCCAAATATAAAAAAGGAACAATTCCCTATTATTTTGCTCGAATGCAATCGAGTATAACTGTTTCGGGAGCGGCTAATATTAATAATTTTAATGATATAAATACCGCGCCTAAAGGTACAATACCGTATTACTTTAAACTATTAAATAAAAACTATCTTTTTCGTGAATAAGAATACTACCAATAAGATGCTTTTAAAAATATTACATCAAAATATCGCTAGTATATTACCAAAACAAGGTGTATTAATGTTAACATTGGATGAACTAGATAAGGCAGGAAACGCCCCAGATGTTATATGTCTTTCAGAAACTTTCTTGCGTACTGATCATGAAAAATACCTAAACATTAATAATAATGAATTAGCCAGTTCGATCTGTAGGGATGAGTCTAGAGGCGGTACATGTATTTTAGTGAAGAAAGATATTGCATATAAAAAATTAAATAAGATAAATAGTTTAGCAACGCAAAGGGTATTTGAAGTTTGTGGTATTGAGATTCCTCTTTATAATTTGCTAATAATTTGTCTCTATAGGACTCCCTCTACAGACGCAATTCTGTTTTTGGACAAGTTAGACGGGATGTTACGTGAAATATTTAAAAACAATAATACCAATACTAAACTTGTAATTACTGGTGATTTAAATATTAATACTCTTAAACCAGGAAAAGCCAACACTTATCTTCATGATTTATGTCTTAATTACTGTCTTAAAATTCGTATTAATGTTCCAACTAGAAAGGAGACATGTATAGACCATATTCTAAGTAATATAGAGAATGCTTCTGCAACAGTATTGCCTTTGTTTCTGTCAGACCATGATACAGCTCAGTTATTAAGCTTCCAGGTTCAACAAAATAAATCAATAAACAAGATATGTTTTAAATACAAAAGGGATTATAATTTAAGTAATGTTCGGAAATTCAAGGAATGTCTAAATCTATCATGGTGTGAAACATATTTAGAAACCGACTTGAACATTGCATTTAATAATTTTTATGATTTATTTTGCTTATTTTATAACCTATGTTTCCCAAGAATAAAAATACTAATACAAAATAGTAATCAAAATAATTGGATTAGTAAAGGTTTGAAAAACAGTCGTAGAACAAAAAGAGCACTGCAGTATCGATACTATAAAAATAAAACTAAAATAAATAAGGATACTTATAAAAAATATTCTTATTTATTGAAAAAATGTATCTACCAATCCAAGAAGAATTGTAATATAAAATTTATAAGTAAGAGTAAAAATAAATGTAGAGCAACATGGTCCGTAATAAAAAAAGAAATTTCAAATACAAAATTGGATAATATTAAGGAGCTAAAACTAAATGATAAAAACCTAACGAACCCTTACGATATAGCAACCGTTTTTAATGACTATTTTATTGACATGACTAATTATATTATAACTAATAATGATAACATGGAAAATATTACACCTAAAAATACAATATCACTATCACACTCAATGTTTCTTAAACCCATGTCGAAAGATGAGGTGAGTAAAGAGATCATGTCCTTAAATAACACTGCCTCGGAAGGTTACGACGGAATTAATACCAGAATAATTAAAGCTTGTGTATGCGAACTTGTTGACGTTATGACTTATTTAATTAATTTATCATTTTTGACAGGAAAATTTCCCGACAATTTAAAAATTTCAATTGCAAAACCATTGCACAAAAAAAGGTAAAAAAGACGATATCAACAATTATCGACCTATTACTCTTATACCCATAATATCAAAAGTTTTTGAGAAATGTTTTTATAAGAGATTAATGGAATTTTCTGAGAGGTTTAACATAATCAAAATAGAACAATATGCCTTCCAGAAAAAGAAATCTACAACGCTAGCAACTTTTCATCTTATAAAAACAATAATTAATAGCATTTCTAGAATAAATAATAACCTACTAACAACAGGATTATTCTTTGATTTAAGTAAAGCCTTTGACTTTGTCACACATGGTTTTCTTTTAAGTAAATTAGATTTGGTTGGAATTAGAGGGATAGCTCTAGAGTGGATTTCATCTTATTTATCAAATCGACGGCAGTTTGTCGTTATTGATAAAATGGTAAAAAATGAAATATTATCCTTCTCATCTAAGTACAGAGAAAAAAATATGGTGTTCCTCAAGGTAGTGTTTTAGGGCCGGTATTATTTCTTTTATACATAAATGATATAACTCTGGTGACAAATCACAAATGTATATTGTATGCGGACGATATTTCCGTAGTTGTAACATCTCAAAAAAACAGTAATTCATTACATAATCATGAAAAGGAAATAAATGATACAATCGATAATATAACTAATTGGCTGCATAGAAACAATATGAAAATAAACCTAGATAAATCAAATTACATACATTTTAATAAAATAAAAACTAATTCTTGTCTAAATGTCAATAAAATTAAGGAAATAGAACAAATTAAATTTCTTGGTGTAATTATAGATCGAAATTTAGACTGGAAAATACATATAAATGACCTATGTCAAAGAATAAATCGTTTTGTGTATGCACTACGTACCATAAAAAAGGTAACTAATAAAAAAAACGGCCCTATTATGCTATCGGGCGTATATTGAATCTATACTTCGATATGGTATAATAATGTGGGGCAATAGCATAGATTGGCGTAGGGCATTTATCGCACAAAAGAAGTGTATAAGGACGATATGTGGTATACCAACTAGAGAATCCTGTAAGCCAATATTCAAAAATTTGTCTTTACTAACTATGCCCTCGTTATATATTTTTGAGATAGGTAAATTTGTAAAACAGCATACATATTTATTTAAAAAGTCTTCTGATATTAATCCTAGGCTTAAAAGAAATCCAAATAGATTAGTTCTAAGCGAAGTTCCGAAGTCAGCTAAATATAGTAAATGCTGTTTATCAATGTGTGTACGTATATACAACAAAATACCTGATGAAATTAAAACACTACATAATATGAACGTATTTAAAAAAAGATTGTACCATTGGTTAATTGACAAAAATATTTATGACACTAATGAATTTCTGACATTTAAAACTAGATTTTTACATTGTAAAACATAATTATAATTTAAATAAACATGTTTAATTTGTTAATTTTAATACTATATAGGTTATCTTGATTTAAATGTAATTTGCATGCTATATTATATTAAAATAGCAAAACATGTGGGCATAATAAGACTCTGAAACATCTGTATAATTACCATGTTTTATGCAAATAAAGACTATTATTATTATTATTTTGGAGTATCTATATAATTTTCTCACCTGGTTGGGTTCTATAAATATATAATTATAAATTAAAATGAAAAGATAAATGTACATAAATATCAATAAAATAAAATAAATACAAAAACTACATAAATAAATAAGATCCACCCAGATGGGAGCCCTCGGCAGGGGAGACCAAACGACCGAGGGTTAGGGGGAAAGGGAAAGAAACCGGCGGACGATGCGGGCGGTATCGAGGAGCATCGCCTTCTGCATTTGAGCCCGGAGCGGTCCGTCACGGAGTCCCAGTCGCCTCAGATGACCCGAGAGGCTGACTGGGATTAGCCCATTCGCAGAGACGACTACAGAAATAATTTCGGTCGGCATACCACCCCACACGTCGGTCACCTCGTGAGCCAGGTCCAGATATTTTGTTCGTTTATCTGTTTCGGCTTTCACGAGGTTCTCGTCATACGGAATGGTAATGTCGATCAAAAATATCCTTGACTGTGCCCGGTCCATCAGCACAATATCAGGCTTATTCGCAAGAATAGTCCTGTCTGTGATGATGGCCCGGTCCCAGTAGAGCCTGGCGCGGTTATTTTCGAGCACAACTTCTGGCAAGTACTTGTAATACGGCAATTTCCGGTCCACGAGACCGTATTTCAGAGCGAGCTCCTGTGTAGAATTCTGGCTACTTGGTTGTGCCTGTGCAAGTACTCAGAGTTAGAAAGCGCCGAACATGCGCACATGGAGATGACATGCCTAAGTGACTCCCCGGGATGGCGACAAGCTCGACAGACGTCGACAGTGCCATTCTTTAGGATGTATCTCCGATAGTTGTTGGTCTTAATAACCTGATCCTGTATTGCACAGACAAAACCCTCGGTTTCCCCGAAGAGGTCACCGAAACGTAGCCAGTTGAGGGAGGCGGCTGTATCTACGTGAGGCTCATGTAGAGCCCTGTAGTACCTCCCATGGAGCTCCTTCTCCTTCCATACGGTCTCCCGGTCGGAA